TGTCTGAAAATATCTTTATTTTGTCACATTAAAACAATTTTACTGGATAAAGAATTCAAGATTGATGGCTTCTTTATTTCTTGTAGCAGCTTAAAAATAGTACTGTATGGTCTTCTGGTCTCCCTCTTTTCTGATGAAAAATATGCTTTCATTTGTATTATTGTTTTTCTGTATGTAATGTATCCTTTTTTTGTGGTTTCTGTCAAGATTTTGTATTTTGGACTCTGATATTTGTGACCCTTGTATGACTCTAATATGCCTAAATATGGTTTTCTTTGCATTTATCTTACTTACTGCTCACTGATGTTCTTGGAACTATAGGTCAAAGTTTTCCAATTATCATTAAGAAAATATTTCATTGCCATATTATAGTCTGATTTTTCTTTGGGGGGTCCAATCCGTATATATTACATTGTATAATATTGTCTTATAAGTTCATAGGGGTTCTGTTCATTTTCTTTAATATTTTTTTTATTTTTGGTCTTCAGATTGCATAATTTCTTTGTTTCCCAAGCCACTCTAAATTGACAAGATTCAATCTCCTAACTCTGACTCTTCCAAGATTCTGGTTAGAACTTGATTTTAAGTTTTGTTAAAGTGCTACAAGAGTGTGCCTTTCTCTGGGTATGGCCTTTATCATAGAGCAGTGATTCAGCTTGACTCACATGTTGTTGGGAAGTGTTACGGAGGTGTATTCAGTATGTCTGCACATGTTTAACGCCTCTGTTTGGCTCTCACCTCTGAGAATCAGCATGCCTTGCATGGCCATGCCTGTGGTTGCTCGGTTCCAGCTCTCAGGCAAGGACTTGGGGTAACCCCCGACATGAACTTGATGACCTCTAAACACTCCTTGTTTTAATGCCCTGCCACACAGTTTCCAACCACCTCAAAAGTCCAGAAATCTAACCTCTGTCTCTTTATATAAGAGACTTCCATATTCTGACTGAACGCTAAGTCAGTGCACTGCAGCTGGAAATTTTGCCAGAGGCAGAGATCCAGAGAAATGGGGTCTGACTTTCATTCAATAGCCACAGAGCAAGTATGGGTTTTTCTTTTACATATTTAATCCTAACCTTTATTCATGTTCCTGCTTGATTATGCAGTGCCTATCTCAACAACACTGCTCTTTTCTTATTCTTGCTCTTTAGTTGTCTCTTTGACACTCCAATTCTGCCTTCACCTTCTAGCTTTTAGTATTCCTGGCTTCCTGGTTTTGTGATCCAAGGATTAACCTTTGGACCTCAGGGTATAGACTTCCCTACATGGAACTTTCCTGCCACTTGAACTGTAAGAGATTTCTTCTGCCAAATGTGACCGTGATAGTTAAGTCAACCTCCTACCTTGGACAAATAAGGGAATTCTGAAACCAAGAAATACTTATTAAGCCTTGTTTCCCATGAAAATGAAAAGAAAATGAAATGCTTATCAATGCAAATTTTATCTTATTTTAAGGCTACATAAATATAATTTGGCTGGAGAACAAAAATATTCCTCTAAATATAAAAATTCGCAGATTTGTAAGCTAGAGTGGCCATGTGCCATACCTGTCCACCAATGAGATTCACATCAGGGGAATGAGGTGGGGCTTTTAGCTAACCATCGGTTTTCACTATTTGTTTGTTTGTTTAAAAAATGACACACATGACTCCTCACTTCTTTTTATGCTTGACCCCCACTCCCCTTCCACTTACCCACTCTGCACCAGGAAGTTCTTATCTTAGACTTGATGTGCGTGACCCAGATAGAGTTGTGTGACCCCAGAAGAATGAGAGGTACATGGAGTAAACCTGAACTAAACCTGTGGCCTGGAACTAAGTCTATACAGCTTCAGTTCAAATCAGTCAATCCCAACTTGACTAAAGACATCTGAGAAATAAATGCTTATTTGCTATATGACACTGGAATCTTTTGGGTTATTTTTTATACAACATTTTTTCTATCAATAATTGACTGAGACAATAAGCTAGACTCAAATCAAGAAAACCCTTCATTAGGAGAAGAGAAAATGTAGCAAGAACTAGCTCACCTCTGCTCCTAGACCGTCTGATTCACTGTCCAACTCTATTGTTTCTACTCATGTGGATTTTCATGTGTCTCAAATTGATTACCATGTGTCTCACTTCCCTTAACTGTAAAGCAGAAATAATAATGTGGGGCTTCTGTTTGTTTTTGGTGAGGATGAACAATTGTTTACTACTTCATAACACTATATCTAGTACACGATGCTTAATTAATTTTCAAAATTATCATTCAATACCACTGTGGAATTTAGATTTTACTCAGCAGGCCAGTGGCTTTTAGCTATACTTTCATGAAAGACTGGTATGTTTCCTGTTAAATTAGAATAATGGTGGTCTTTTTCCAGTGTGCAAATTAATATAAGTAAATTGATATAAACTATAAGATTAGTTTATATATTATGGTTTATAAAGGAAAAATAAGAATTTTTCTTCCCTATATTTTTACACCTTTAGTGCTTGATACAATGTTTTAAAAGCCAACTGAAAACAAGTAAATACAGAAGTATTATTATTATTAATTGAAAAAATCAGAAACAATTATATTTAGTTTGAAAGCTTGTCTTTAAGTAGACATATGTAGCAAAAATTGTCATTTTATATTACACAAGCAAAATACATTTTCTCCCAGGAAACTTGCTGATATTCCTGTGATGGAATTGAAAATATGTTTCATGATGCTTTACAAATAATATGGTATTCTGAGAAAAGAACAATAATTTGCACCCTGGCCAGTGTGGCTCTATTTGTGGAGCCATAAAGTGAAAGGTTGCAGGTTCGGTGCTTGGTCGGGACACATAACATAGGTTGTTGGTGCAGTTCCTGTTCCAGCGCCTCCTGGAGGCCATCAAGTGATGTTTCTCTCTCACTTAAAGTTTCTCTATCTCCCTCTGTCTCTTAAACCGATGCAAAAATGTCCTTGGGTGAGGATAAAATAATTTGCAGTAGCTTTCCCTGTTTTTGAGGACTTAGAATCTTTGGGAGGAAATCTATTTATTTGTTCTTTGTTATTTTAAGAGAAATTTGAGCTTGAAAGTTTACCCTAATTGTAATGTATAGAGTTTAATTGAAGGTATATAGGGCTAGAAACTAACAGGCTAGTGGATAGCCCTAGACATATAAAAATGATTTCTTTTTGTCAAATGCAGGGAACAGAAAAGAGGTAACTAATAAAAGGACACTAGGGAAGTTAAAAAGATTGACAACAGCTAAATGTAGTTGGTGAGGAAAAGAGAATCTTAAACTGTAGTGCAAATGAAAATTACCCTGAGAGCTTACGAAAAATGCATACATAGTCCATGTTCCCATTCCCCAAAATTCTGACTCAGACCTAGAAACTGTATTTTTAACACATCTCATTTCTGATTTTGGTTCAGGAGGCTGAGAATCATACTTGGAGAAACTTAGAACATGGTATACTCTAATCATTTGAAACCATTAGTTTGACTCTGCTATTTCAGAATTACTTAGCACTTTGCATATTCCAGTTACTGGCAAGGGTTGCTGTAGATGTGAAGCCCACAGGAAAAGGGTGATGTCAAGATTTTAGGCCTGAGAACCTTAGAGAAGAATAATGGTAGTAACCAAGATAAGGAACATAACAGTAAGATGTGATACGGTAAGGAATGAAAGATGATACAATTTTTTGATGTGTTGTAGATTGCACTTTTTTAAAGGGTGGAGGAGAATGGCATAAAATACCAACCCTGGGTCATGTATGGCTCTGAATAAGCCTGTGTATGAGGGAGATGAGAAATCTGAAGAGCCACCTATTATTAATAAATACTAGAAAGCTAAAATTAGGGTGTGTCATCAATGGTCTTCCTCGCACTGGAATCCAGCATTAAGATGACTAGTACCTGCAATTCTGCCACACAGGGGCTACTGTTAATCTGTTACCCCTAAGAAGCTCACGCTACTATTCTGTCCACCCTACCTACAACAGTCCTTTAAAAACAATTTTACTGTAGATCCCACACTTGTTATTTATAACACTCACTTCAGCATTCAGAATGCGTCCAATTGTTTATTTTGTTATCTCTATTTGAACCTAAGTGAAGCAAAGATCATATCTTATTTGTATATTCTCCAATAGTCATAATTTAGCACAGTATTAAGTAAGTAGAAATTCTAAACAATTTGGTAAGTTTTTTTTTTAAAGAACAAATATTAAGTTTGGCCACTGGTCAGGTTTTGTTGTTTGTTAGTAACTGCTCGAGCCAAAATTCCATTTTAGTGATGTCAAAGTTAAGCAGGTGAGAAAGTCATTATTCAAGATTATCATAGGAACAGAAGCCAGAAGTCGGAGCTCCACTACCCAGAAACAAACTCGAAGAGACTTAAAGAGGAAGTAGGGAGCATCATAGGACACTTGTATTTACAAATTGAACATATTAAAAAGAAGAGTTAATTGTTTTCTCTTAGCTGCATGACAGAAGGTAGTTCTACAACTTGGAACAAGGTGCCTCCCACTGAAAGTGGAAATAGGGGTACTATTGCCTTTGTTGATTGAATTTCAAAACGATGGCTCCCTGGTCCTGAAGAGAGTCCTGGATTGTAAAACTGACAAAAACTTTTTAAACGTTTATATCTCAAAAGGGCAGAGCATGAGTTTATGATGATAAGTTTTCTAAAATTAATGATAGCAGGGAAGGAAGGTCAAGCCCTAGAAACCGCGAAGAAACGTCTAACACTCCTAACCTGAGCTGAGAGGAATGTCAAGCGAGCCTTAATCATTGATTGGCTGTGTTTCTGCAGTTCTGCACCAAGGAACTCAAATTATAAGCTTGTGATTTCTCACAGTTTCCTTGTGCAGAGAGTTGCTGAACATTTCACACTACCCTTTTTGTTGTTGTTGTTTACTTTTTTTGCTTTTGACCTACCCATAGTCCTCGACCTCACTCCCGGCTGGGCACGTGCACGGAGGGCACTGCGCCCTGACGTCACTGCACGCGCCTGCCCTGCAAGTTAGCAACCGAAAGCGTCCGTAGTGGCACTGGCTACAGAGATGTACGAACTTCCGGTTTCTCAGCCGCTGCCGCCCGTGCAAACTGCTGTCGTCTCTGCCACCTGCCGCGGCCGGGTTTCTTCCCGGTAGTTGGTCACTTCTTCCTCGTTCCCCATCGCGCCCATGGTCCCTCCTGAAGCCAGGTCGGGGGGCCGGGCGGCTCCAGCGTGGTGAGAGGCTGGCCCAGGGACGATGAAGGGCCTGCATTGCCGCTGCTGCCCCCGCCGCCTTCTGGCCTCCGCCCTCCTGCTGTTGCTGCTCCTACCAGGGCTAAGAGGGCCCTTGGCGGTGTTGCTGCAGGCAGCAGAGGCCGCCGCGGACTCCGGCCCTCGCGACCGTGGACCGCGGACTCTGTCCCCCTTGCCGCCTGGCCCCACTGCTGCCCACTCCCCGGGCGGCGCCCGGGCAGAGGCCGCGGCGCCGCGGAGCGCAGAGGGTGGCAATGGCAGCAGCCCCAGGGCGGCGCCTGCGGCAAATGACCTAGCAGGGAAGGCGGGGGGAGAAGGCTTGGTGGGTGGCGCCGCTTCTGGCTCCGACCCCGAGATGGAGAAGTCCACGACCCAGCGGGCCCTGACCGTGTTGATGGTGGTGAGCGGTGTGGTGCTGGTGTACTTCGTCGTCAGGACTGTCAGGTGAGGCGAAGCCTCGATGGGCCGCCTGGTGACCTTCTAGCGTGGCAGCATACTGGGACCTGGCGTTGACCTCTGCTCCCACTTTCAGAGGTGCCTACCTGAGTGAGAGATGTGACGACGTCTTAAAGGCCCTTGGTGTCTTTGGGAGAATTTAAACCACCAAGTTGCTCCCTTTCATTGATAAATTATAAATTAGTAGCCCCCACCAAATCACTTTACTTTGCCTCAAAGGGCAGACTTCCCTTGAAGAACTAGTAATCTTGTATTCAACTCCAATAGCTTGTAATGCTTCTCTTTTTCTACTCTATATACTTTGTCATTTTGCCTATTAGAATGCAAACTTCGGAAGGGCAGGATTCCTATTTAGTAACATAAGTCCTAGAGTTCTTTGTACAATGTCAATACTTAATTGGAAATTAATATTTAAGTGGATTAATAGTACGTATTGCAGAAGAAGTTTATGGTTATTTTATGTAATGTACTTTGTACAATATCTCCACTTAATAGGAAATCAATACTTATTTGAATCAATACTTATTTGAGTAATATTACAGAAGGATCTTATGGTTACTTTATAAAATATCAAGGAAGAAAATTTCTTCCTTAACCGTGGTTTCTTAGCATTCGCCTTTAATCTACCCTCTAAGTAATTAGATTGTACGTTCCTATGTTCCACCAGTTTTGACCTGGAAAACTGACAATTTTGTATGGTTCAATCTGTGTCATACTCCTTATTAATCAGAAACATTTAGCATTTACCTTTCATGGCACAAAGTATTTCAGTGCATAGTGTTACCAACTGCATGGTAAGATGGAAACCTGATAACCTCTGCAGCAAAGGAAGCAAATGTTATAAATATGAACCAGTTTTAATATTAGAGCAGACGCTTAGTATCCTAACAAAACTATAAGTATTGGTATATTGACTTCAAATTTACAAATATTTTAATTAGTGTATGGATTGATTTGCTATTTCACACAAAACCTTTCTAAAATGAATTCACCTATAAATAATAATTCTGCCATTCAATAATTTATGACATATTTTTATGACGTCATAAGATTATGACATAAACATTTTATTTTTTATTCTAGAGAGAGGAAAGAAGGGAGAGAGAGAGATGTCAATTTGCTCCACTTAATTATGTATTCATTGTTTCATTCTTGCATGTGCACTGATTAGGAATCACAGTTGAAATTTGGCTTATCTGGACAATGTTCTAACCATCTAAACTACCTGGCCTGGGCCAAAATGAACAGTTTATAAAGCCTTACTATAGGATGCTCCATTGTGCAGTTATATAAATTTCAGATTTGGAACACATATCACTTAAATGACACCTTTCCTTTTACCTAAGAGGAATATGATTCAGAAGTACAGTTCACTGTTTACTTTGTTTGATATTTTTCTAATTAAGGTCCCTGTGTCCTGACTAATGATAACCTTCTAATAAGTAAAGCAGATCATTATGTTGTAAGTACTGGGTTAAGAATAAAGGTAAATGATTGCCACTTATTTTTTCTGCTACCCTCGAAGCCTTATCACGTACAAAAGAATTATGTTATCTAATTAGTGGTATTTGTTATTGTTATCAGTAACCTCCACTTGATGCATTTCTTTGTAACTGACATCAGTTTGTTTATGGCATCATTCATGATATTAAATATTCCAATCATGTAATAGGGTTGATTTGGAAAAACCTGTAATAAAGCCCTTTTTAGTGGGTTATTTAGAGACCCCCTCTGAAGAGTTGATATATAAAGCCAAGAAGTCATTGTTAGAAGGAGCCAGCCAATAGGAGAGCTGAAGGAGTTTCCTCCTTTATAAAATGGAGTAGATGGTAGATTTGTGGGAATGTACCCGTTTATTGTTTTGCAAACTTTATATTTTTTCCATAACTACTTACCCTCTATTATTTCATACATTTCTTTAAATGTATTTATTTAAACCAGAGTTTCCTTTAAAAATCTGTTTTATTACTTTGTGAATGGGAAACCAACATCCATTGGCTTAAATAGCTGATTTTAAAAAGTACTGTGTAAGGCACTGGTTCTGGATATGTAATACAAGGAACCCTAGGTGGGCAGGTGGAAGAGGGTTCCTGAGACCTCTTCAGGGAATCTGCAAGTTGAAAACTGTTTGCAGAATAGTACGTTCTTCTACAAGTTGATAGGGTACAAGAAGTTCACTGGTAGTTTCAAATTCCACATTACAACTGACTTTTAAGAAACTTCCTCTTGTTGAGTTTTGCTGTAGTAGCAAAAAAGAATCCACACTAGCATCTGGAAAGGCTATTAAAATTCCCCTTTCTTTTCTAAGTTCGTATCAGTGTGAACCTAGATTTTCTTCATATCCTTCAACCAAACAACACATTGTAAATGATGGAATGCGGAAGCAAATACAAAAATTTAGCTGTTTTCTATTTTTTTATGATTTCCCATTTTCTAATTAGTTCTGTCTGTTTAACATTAAAGAGATTTGAAAAAACCTAAATCAGTGCCCTTCTTTTTACCATTTTGGCTTTCTTTTTGATAACATGTTTTTCATGAGAAAATATGTGACCCTGCAAATGGATATTTTAAATTAAATAATAATTCTTTAAATTTTTAAATAATTAATTAACATATTAAATATATCTATCTATATCCATCTCTCTCTCTCTCTCTGTATATATTCTTTGGGGGTCTTAAGTTTTAAGAGTGTAAAGGAAACCAAAGACCAAGTGTTTGAGACCGACTGGTGTAAACTATTATTTTAGCTACCTACTATTGGTCATGAAAGCCAGTGAATCCAGACTCACTTTCTCTTAAAGGGGACATTTGGAGATGTTTGTGAGGTGGTGAAGTCATATAACCACCAAACTGAGACCTTATTCTTGACATAAAGAAAGATTAGAAGAAAACTGAAGCAAAAATTCTTTTTTTCTCTCTATGATTGTTATTTAATGCCATCTGTATACAGTTGACACTTGAACAACATTGGGTGTTAGGGATGCGGATCCCGTGCAGTAGAAAGTCTGGACATGACTTTTAACTCCCCTGACGACTAATAGCCTCCTGTTTACTGGAAGTCTTACTGATAACATAGTCAATACATATTTTCTATGTTATATGTATTGTACACAATATTCTTACAGTAAAGTAAGCTAGAACAAAAATGTTTAGAAAATTATAATGAAGAGGAAATACATTTACAGTATTTTTTTAAAAATCCGCATGTAAGTAGAATTGCTCAGTTTAGACTGTGTTGTTCAAGGATTAACAGTATAGTTCCTATGAAGATATAGAGTAGTCTGTGTATTATGTTTTTGTAAATTATGGGTCTGTGTTAAATTTTGGGGGTGTATATCTATGGGATAGGCAAAAGTAGGTTTATAGTTTATATAGTTTTACATACTGTAAACCTACTTTTGTCTACCCCTGTGTATATAAGTGTTATTGCCATTGATTTTGTTTTTAAATTATATTTTATTGATTATGCTTTTACAATTGTCCTGATTTTTCCTTCTCTACCTAGCACTCTAAACTCCCTCAGGCAGTCCCCCCACCATTGTTCATGTACATTGGTTATGCAAATAACTTCTTTAGCTACTCCATTTCCTATACTGTACTTTACATCCCCATAGCTACTCTGTTAACTACCTATTTGTACTTCTTAATCCCCTCACCTCTTCACTCATTCCCCTACACCCTCCCATCTGGCAACCATCAAAATGTTCTCTGTCTATGATTCTGTCTCTGTTCTTGTTTGCTTAGTCTGTTTTTTAGATCGAATTATTGATAGATTTGTATTTTTTTGCCATTTTACTGTTCCTACTTTTGATCTTCTTTTTCTTAGATAAGTCCCTTTAACATTTCATATAATAATGGTTTCATGATGTTGAATTCCTTTAACTTTACCTTATCTGGGGAGCACTTTATCTGCCCTTCCATCCCAAATGATAGCTTTGCTGGGTAGAGCACTCTTGGATGTAGGTTCTGACCTTTCATGACTTTGAATACTTCTTTCCAGCCCCTTCTTGCTTATAAGGTTTGTTTGAGATATCAGCTGATATTCTTATGGGAACTCCCCTGTAGGTCACTAACTTCTTTCCTCTTACTGCTTTTAAGATTCTCTCTTTATCTTTAACCTTTAGCATTTTACTTTTGATGTGTCTTGGGGTGGGCCTCTTTGTGTCCATCTTGTTTGGGACTCTCAATGTTTCCTGGACTTGCATATATATTTCCTTCATCACATTAGGGAAGTTTTCTTTCATTTTTTTTCAAATAGGTTTCCAATTTCTTGCTCTTTCTATTCTCCTTCTGTCACCTTATGATGTGAATATTGGACCTCTTGAAGTTGTCCCATAGACTGCTTATACTGTCCTTATTGTTTTGGATTCTTTTTTCTTCTTCTTCTGATGGGTTATTTTTGCTTCCTTGTGATAGGGATATCATTGATTTCATCCTCAGCTTCATGCATTCTACTATTGTTTCCCTATAAATTGTTCTTTATTTCAGTTAGTGTATCCTGTTTCTGACTGGATCTTTTTCTGACTGGTCTTCACTAAGTTCCTTGAGCATCCTTTGTTTTGAACTAACAGTGTTTTGAATAACCTTTGTTTTGAATAACCAGTGTTTTGAATTCTGCATCTGATAGATTGCTTATCTCCATTTCATTTATCACTTTTTCTGGAGTTTTGATCTGTTCTTTCATTTGGGCCATGTTTCTATGTCTTCTTATTTTGGTAGCCTCCTTGTGTTTTTTTCTTTTTTTTTTTTTTCTATGTATTAGGTAACGCTGCTTTGACTCCATGACTTTGTATTGTGGCCTAATACAGCAGGTGTCCTGTAGGGTCCAATGACACAGCCTCCCCTATCACCCAAGCTGGGTCCTCAAGGTGCACCCTTTGTGTTGGCTGAGTACACCCTCCTCTTTACATGCTCCTCTTTTAGTTGGGCTTTGGTTGCTGTTGGCAGATCAATGGGAGGGATTTACCCAGGCCAGTCAGCTGCAAGGA